TTTAAAAAATCTTAAAAAAAAAAAAAAGGCCTCTCATCCCAGAACCCCCACCCGCATCCCCACTTAAGTGTTCTAACAACTTACCACCCTCTGACCTACCAACCATGTGTCTTCCCATCCAGGACGTCAGCTGCCTGGGGGCAGGGAGTTGTCTGTGTTGGTCCTGGGCGGTCCGCTGCCTGGGCCAGCTCTTGGCACACAACAGGCACGAAAGGAGAGTCCGCTGAATGTGTGAACAAGGCAATGTGTGTGGCCTTGAAGACCTCGAGGCACCTGCCCGTGCGTGTGGCCGCCCGGACATGTGGGTTTGGACACAGTGGAACTTGGGGCAGACCGGGGTGACGTGTGGACGTGGGAGATGTGTTCTGAGTGCTGGCAAGTGCGTGTGAGAGGCCTGTGTGTCCTCATCTGAGGGGCTGCAAGCGGCTGAACCCCGAGAGAGAAGGCAAGGGGAGCCAGCGAGATGGCCACAGTACATGCATAGGAGCTCACCTGTGTGAGCAGGGCAACACCGGGGAGGGTACGACAGAGCTGGGGCATGTGAGTGTTGAGGGGCGTGCACTGAACAAAACCCAGGCCCAGCCTCTGCGAGTGGGTATTTTGGTGGAGGAATTCAGATAATAAACACCGGCAAACAAACGAGGCAGTCGCAGAGAGAGGCAGATGCTAAAATGACAAAGTGGGACTGTGACAGAGAGTGCCCAGGAGGAGCAACGCTAAATGGGGGTGGTCAGGGAGGGCTTCTGAGGAGGGGACATCTGAGCTAAGACCTGAGTAAGGAGAGAGAGGAGGCCATGTTAAAATTCCGGGAAGAATGTTCCAGACCGCGGAAAGGGCAAGTACAAAGGCCCTGAGGCAGGACTGTGCCTGGTGTGTTCGAGGAGCAACTAGGAGGCCAGTGTGCCTCGAACACCGTGAGTGAGGGGTGAGTGGGAGAGGAGGGCAGGGAGGGGGCAGGAAGAGGGTGCAGGGCCTTGTGGGGGCGCAGGAAGACTTGGACTTTTGCTCTGAGTGAGCTGGGAGCCACAAAGGGTTCTCTAGGAAAAGGAGAGACATGACCTGATTCTTTGGCAGCTGTGGGAGAAACAGACCAGAGGCTGATGGCAGACAACTGGAGGCCTGGGGGGCAGCTGATGTAAGGAAATCCAGATGGTGTCTTGAGCTGGGATCATGGTGGGGGGTGAGCATGGGGGAATGTGGAGGAATTCAGGGTCCAAACAGAAGAGCTGACAGGCCTGGCTGATAGGTTGGATCTGTTGTGAAAAAAGAGGAGACAGGAATGACTCTGGGATTTGGGGAGATGGGGCCTCTGCTACTAGACTGAGTTAGTGAGACTTTATCTCTCACCCCACCTCACCCCTCTCCCCCGTTCTCCTTCTGCTCCTGCCTCCCCATAAGTTCCTTTAATACATCAGGCACGGTCTAGCCTCAGGGCTTTTGCATTTGCTGTTCCCCCTGCCAGGGATGCTGTTCTTCCCCAGATATCCTCATTACTTCCTCCCTTACCTCCTCCAGGAGGTCTTCCCTCCTTTCAAATTGCCAGGGCCCAGATCTCCACATCTCTCTGTTTTCCTGTTATCTTAACACCGGCTAATACACTCTATTAATCCCTATAGCTTATTTATTTTGTTTCTTGCTCATCAGGGAAGGAAGTTTTGTGTTTTGTTCCATACCGTAGTTCCTAGAACCGTGGCTGGCACACAGCAAGCACTCATTGAATGAATGCATGACATGCTGTCCCGCAGGGCGCCGGGAACCAAGTGGAAAGGCCAGGGTGGGATCCCTGGGGCATCTCAGCCTGGGGGCGGGGACCTGGAGCAACGCGGGTTTGGCGCAACCCGAGAGTCGGGGGCCCGTCTAGGCTCCCGGGACTCCCCTCCTTCCTGTTCGTCCTCTGCCTTCAGGTCTGCCATGTCGGCGCCTCAGCTGCGCACGTTGCAGCTGCTGCTCCTGCTGGGCGCGACGTGGGCGCGGGCGGGCGCCCCGCGCTGCACCTACACCTTCGTGCTGCCGCAGCAGAAGTTCACGGGCGCCGTGTGCTGGAGCGGGCCGTCCGCTGCGCGCCCGGCCGCGGAGGCCGTGAACGCCAGCGAGGTGGCAGCGCTGCGCATGCGCGTGGGACGCCACGAGGAGCTGCTGCGCGAACTTCAGCGGCTGGCGGCGGCGGATGGCGCCGTGGCCGGCGAGGTGCGCGCGCTGCGCAAAGAGAGCCGCGGCCTGAGCGCGCGCCTGGGCCAGTTGCGCGCGCAGCTGCAGCACGAGGCGGGGCCGGGGGCGGGTCCAGGACCGGGGGCGGAGCCCGCTGCTCTGCTGGCGCTGCTTGGGGAGCGCGTGCTCAACGTGTCAGCCGAGGCGCAGCGCGCCGCCGCCCGCTTCCACCAGCTGGATGTCAAGTTCCGGGAGCTGGCGCAGCTGGTCACCCAGCAGAGTGGCCTCATCGCCCGCCTGGAGCGCCTGTGCCCGGGGGGCACGGGTGGGCAGCAGCAGGTAACCTTAAAGCTGGCCAGGAATCGTAGCCACTTCCTGTTTGCATCATTTGTAAGATGGGGCTCTTGCAACCCCACGCACGATCTCTGAAACGCAGTTTTGAAATCCGAAAAGCTCCAAATACCAGATTCCTGCTTCTCCTTCCACAGCTCATTTGGATCAGAACGCGGCTGGCGACTACCTAAAGTCTTTACTTATCCACTTAATATAAATATTCATAGTGCCTGTAATCAAGCATATTATTACGTAAAGACCAAGGATCCATGTTAGGGAGGTGTTATGTGATATAAATATAGACCCTGTGCTACTGTTCTAACTTCTGTTATATTATTTTTAATTCTGGAACATGGCTGGCCCTAATTTTGAATAAGATTGTTGCTCCGTGACAACCCATACCTCACAAGGCTGTTGGGAGCATTCAGTAAGCTAATACTCCTTGTTGGAGGTACTCTTGCCATCAATACTTTACAGAAAAGGAGAGTCAGAGTCAGATAAGTTAAGCTGTGAACACCAGAGCAGGAATTTAAGCTCAGCGCTGCTCTTGACAGCTAGAGTTAGGCTTTGGGAAGTATCCGTTCTAGGGCTGGGACATGCCCCTGCCTGATCCACCCATCTGGGTGTTGGGAGATTTAGGGGCCCAGTGTCTTTTCAACTGAAGGCTAGTGCAATCACATCTGAGTCTCTTGGTCACCGCAGGTCCTGCCACCGCCCCTGGTGCCTGTGGTTCCTGTCAGTCTGGTGGGTGGCATTAATGATACCAGCAGGAGGCTAGACCCGGCTCCAGAGCCCCTGAGAGACCAGACCCCGAGACAGCAGGGGCCCTTGGCTTCTCCTGTGCCTGCAGGGCACCCTGCTGTCCCCACCAAACCGACAGGTAAGATGAGGGCAGGAGTGTTGGGGATGTGAGAAGCTAGGGAGTTCCCAGTGCATTGTGAGGAGATGGAAATAGGAGCCAGGATTTTAATGGCAGATTTCTCTCATGGTAAGAGCACTGGAAGAAAGGATGCTTTTATTCTGGTGATCGAACAAGGAGCCATGGCTCTCATCCTGATAAAGACCAAGATCCTTACTGTGGTATGAAAATAGGAAAGGAAAGTCTTTTCTTTTGGTGAGGGGACAGGGAATTTAGGACTGCTTATTGGTAAGAAATTAAGCGAGCTCAGAGGGTCATGTTCAGGATTTCTACTCTGGTGAGGCTTTAGAACCAGGATTTAAGTACCCCAGGCTCCACATTTGCTGTAGTGAGAAAAGAATGAACCAGAGTATTAACTCAGGTAAGGACATGGGTACTGGGGCTCTTATTTTGGCCAGGGAATGGGAGAGGCAGGACTGCTGTTCTGGTGAGGGGATGAGAGAAGAATGCAGATCTATATACCAACAAGGGGTTGGTTGGTCCAGGCTGTGCCTTCCCCATATCTCTGTACCCACAGGCCCATGGCAGGATTGTGCAGAGGCCCACCGGTCAGGCCACAGGCAGAGTGGTGTGTATGAACTGCGACTGGGTCGGCACGTGGGGTCGGCGTGGTGTGAGCAGCAGCTGGAGGGTGGAGGCTGGACTGTGATCCAAAGGCGGCAAGATGGCTCTGTCAACTTCTTCACCACCTGGCAGCACTACAAGGTGGGCGTGGGCGGGCAGGGGCAGGGCTGTGTCGGGGAGGGGACCTGCTTCTGACCTGCTGACTTTCCTGTCCTGCCAGGTGGGCTTCGGGCAGCCTGATGGAGAATACTGGCTGGGTCTGGAACCTGTGCATCAGCTGACCAGCCGTGGGGACCATGAGTTATTGGTGCTCCTGGAGGATTGGGGAGGGCGTAGTGCACGTGCCCACTATGATGGTTTCTCCCTGGAGCCTGAGAGTGACCACTATCGCCTACGGCTTGGCCAGTACCATGGAGATGCTGGAGACTCTCTTTCCTGGCACAATGACAAGCCTTTCAGCACCGTGGATAGGGATCGAGACTCCTATTCTGGTAAGCAGAGCTCTTATTCTGGTGGGGAGTGGGGACAGGGGAGGAGGGACTCCTAGGGAGGGAATGCAAAGAATGAAAAGAGCGGAGTGACACTTCCCTCTGGTAAGGATCAGGGTAAGCAAGAGAACAGAGGGGAGGACTTTTATTCTGGTGAGGGGACAGAGAGCCTAGATTCCTTCTTTCATGAGGCAGTTGCTTCCCCCTGTTCTGGTGAAAGGCAAGGAGAGCTAGCAGTCTTATTCCAGAAAGGAAGTAGGGAAGATTTTTCCCTTGATAAAGGTAGAGCTTCTAGTTTTCAGAAAGAGTGGAAAAGGTATAACGTGTACTTTGGTAGGGGGATAGGGAAGGAATTAAAGTTATTACTCTAAAAAAGAAAGGGGCCAGGGCTCTTAATCTGGTGAGGAGAGAGGATCAGGGTTGCGTTCACTAAGAGTGGGAAGGGCCAGGGGATGCGTGGCAAAAGCCTTGCGCTGAGATGCTCGTAGAGGTTTTTATTCTGGTAAGAGGACATGGGTTTTCTCTCTCCTCAGGTAACTGTGCCTTGTACCAGCGGGGAGGCTGGTGGTACCATGCCTGTGCCCACTCCAACCTCAATGGCGTGTGGCACCGTGGCGGCCATTACCGCAGCCGCTACCAAGATGGGGTCTACTGGGCTGAGTTTCGTGGCGGGGCTTACTCTCTCAAGAAGGCTGCCATGCTGATCCGGCCCCTGAGGCTGTGACCGTCTGTCCATCTGTCCCCCAGGTCCCAGAGGATGTTTGTCAGCAGGAGCCCAAGTCGTCCTGGCTACCCCTGCTTTGTGACTTAGTGCGGGCCACGTCCCACACACTCTCCTGTTGTGAATCTGCTCCCCGGGGTCCTGAAAACGGGACCCAGGAATCCCCCTGCCAATGTCGCAGACCCAAATGGCTCCTCGAGGGCATTTAGATCTCAGTTTGAGCTCATATTTTATAACAACACAAAATATCCACAGACTGTGTCTGGTTTGCATCTGCACCTGTCCGGGGTCACTCCCCATGCCCACCCTCGCCCTCCTCCTCCTCTTCCTCCTCCTCCTCCACCTTCAGGTCCTCCAGGATGAGGTTGTCCAGGTCCTCCAGGAGGCCCCCCTGGCTCAGGCAGGTGGCCACAGTGGAGCCACTACTGATGTGGGGGTTGCTGGGGTGCAAGACTTTAGGCAGGTGGTTCTGCTTCCGGCTCTTGGGGTGAGCGCAGGATGTCCCAGGCACGTGGGGCTCTGGGGAGGAAGAGGTTCTGAGGTCATGGAGCTTGAGGCCCACGTAAGACTCTGGGGGCAAAGGGGCTGCAGCCATGGGGGCTCGGGAGGGGAGGGGCTGAGGCTACAGGCCGTAGGGCCAGACCTACAGGAAATTCAGAGATGAAAGTCACAGGTGTTGAAGCCACTAGAGACCCAGGGACATGGGCATCACCTGAGACTACAGAAGACAAAACAGGAACCAAAGACACAGAGACCGTGGCAGAGGTCACGAGGACACAGGGGGAACCACTCAGTCTCAGGGGCAAGAGCACGGAATGTGGCTGACGCCATGGGAGATGGGTATTAGAAGGGGGAGGGTCTGGTGTTGGAGCCTGGAGATCGATGGGAGGCCGGTGCGTGGAAGATGTGAAAGGAGAGGCTGATGTCACGGGATGAGCTACGTGGCTTTGGGGACTGAGGCCTTAGGAGGCACATGGAAGAAGCAGGCAGAGACCTTGGTACTTAAGGCCCGGGAGGCGGATGTCCCAGGAGTCAAGGTCACAGAGACCGCCCAGAGCGAGGGAGGTCACGGGGACGTGGCAGGCCCTCACCTCGCCGGTTGTAGCAGTCGGCGGCCGAGCAGGAGTGGGTATGGGTGCTGCGGCGGTCCGTGTCCCGGTCCCAGCGTGGAGGGAGGATCCGTGTTGGATACACGGGGAAGCCGCACCCGTAGCAGGGGGACGAGGACCCCATCTGTGCCCAGCCCCTGGGGGCGGGCAGGGCCGTGAGGGTCCAAAGGTGAGGCCCGGGCCAGGGTGGGACCAGGGAAGGGAAGGGCGGGGCTGGGGG